TCCGGTACCGGGAACCGAACTCACGACCTTGCACTTGCCAGGCAGGCGCTTTTGCCGCTGAGCTAAATCCCCAGCCCCGACCAGTAGCTCTCTGTCGGGTGCCCATTTACCAAGATTGAGCCTCATATTCTCTTGAGAAATAATGACAGAATTATCACTATGAATGGATTTTCACAAGCCAGAAAAATTGGTTTACTTCTCTACGAGGGTTCTTACCTTGTGATTTGTATTATAGCTTCCTAGGAAGTGTGAGGTATTCAGAACTCTTTCTGCCCGTTTGTGCCGATACACAGTTTAATGTAAGCCATTTCGTCAGGAATCAGAGATCATGAGCTGCTTTGATAGACACTGCGCCTCTGTTCACCTCAGCCTGCAGGGCTCTGAGCAGCTCTCTCGCACTTGCCAATGCAGCCCTGCCAGCTGCTCACTAGGGACAGAGGTGTCCGGGTGCCAAGCCCTTGAGGAATGCTCTGCTATGGTCTGCGTAATGAGAGTTTTTCCAAACTCGCTGCTAACTGCATATTCTGGAGTTAATTTTTTGTTAATTTTTTATTAATGTTACTGTCATATCCCCAGAGACTCATTGTGAAATTTTCTTTGACTTATAATCACTGATCCCATATAAACACAGTTACTGATTTTTCTTTCTAATTTATTTTTTTCTTTCTTTTCTCTTCCTGGGATTCATACTCTAAACCAATTTCCCCTGCCTAGAATTTCCTGTATCCTGTGTTTCTAAAACCTTCCCCTACTTCAAGGTCAAATTTCAAGTCTCACTCACTTCTGTTTCTTTTCTTTTATTTTCACAATGGACACAGCACTTTTTCTTAGTTCTGTTTTCTCTGTGTCTGTCAGTTTCTGTCCATCTCCCTGTATCTTTTTTTGCTTATCACAGCTACGTTGCACTGTCATTGAACTTTTACCATTTCTTTACATTTAGCAATGGGATTTTAAACTAACGTAGCCTAGTGTTTTACCTTAATCTTCTGCTACCAGATAGTTTATCATAGTATTAGTGGATATTGACAACACTATTAGTTAAAGAAAATTTCATTAAAATCAACAAATACTAAACTCTGTGCTAGGAATTTTTTCTGTTAATGAAAAGAAATAAATCCACCAAATCCTGTAATGATATAGCAAAATGATTTATTAAAAAAGATTACTATATAGGAGATAAGTACTGCAATAAAAAGTATATTCTTGTGCCAGTATACAGAAGAAAGGAAATTTATCTAGGTGGAAAATTGGTGAATGATCAAAGAACAGTTTACATGAGACAAATATTATCTGAATTGGATCTTATAGCTCAAGAAAGAATCTTCTGTGAAGATAATCTGTCAAGGAAATTTGATCAAGAGG